TACAGAGACTTTTGATTTCCATTCGTTCATTGTTGCACATTGGTCCCCTCCCAAGGCTCCCCCTCCCAGAACACTACCCTCTTGGAGAAGTAAAAGAAAAATTCTTTGATTGTTTTACAAACCCTCCCCCAGGTCCACTCCACCATGTAGCTCTAGTATGGCTTTAATGTAATTGATTACATCTGAAAATACCCAATTTCTAAATATAGTCATAATCTAAGGTTTTGGGTAAACATGAATTTTGGGAGGATGCTATAAAACTCAATAAGGAACTCTGATGGTGTAATGCCTTATATGTTGCTCTTGTAGCCAAAAGGTCACCTGCTCCAATCCATAAGCCACCTAAATCTATTAGCTGCTTTTCAGGCGAAAGATGGGAAGTCTCTTCCTGTAAAAATTTAACAGGAAACCCAAAGGAGAGTTGCTTATGAGTCAGAATCAACTTGACATCAGTGGGTTAAACCCAGACCACCTGGGAAACACAAATGGGTAAACACTGAAAGTCAATGGTGTCCTTATCACCTTTAGAGTGTTTGAAAAATTCACAAGCTGAGGTTACCAATATATCACACCCGCTCTCACCAAAATTAAAATCCCCTGGAGGAGAGAGAACACCAAGGACAGATGTTAATAGTTTTTAAAAGTCCCCACAGGTAATTCTGACACATATCATAGTTAAAATTTTATATTTCCATGTAATGAGTCATATTCTCTATTCCCTTCAGGGATAAATGGAACATTTCAGCAGGTATATGGTATGTATACAGCTATCTGGCTAAAGGAACATGCTAACCATCTGCTTTATACAGTAATAAGGAATAGCTAGGTTGAGCACACATGTCTTCTGAAAACTAGGGGGAAGGGGAAAAGGCTCTATGCAAGTAGAGCCAAATCCACAGTGATCTCTCCAGCACATAAACTGGCTCTGTGTGTGTGCGCGTGCACGGCACGTGTGCACTCGCACATGCATGCGCACGTCCTTATGTGCACGTGTGTGTGCACGCACACTGAGACATAGTCATTCCTTTTACCGGCCTTATCAACTTTCGTGTCTTTTAAAGAGAATTGGTTAATTAGAGCAACTTTAAGCCGAGGGCTTCTCCTCTCTTGTCACTTTAATCTCACTTCACCTTGAGAACTCCTTCTGAACCCCCCAAAACATTAATGACTGGCTTCCCTAGCTTTTATTCCTGCAAATCAGAGTGGCTCCCTAAACCACACATTTTTCACTCTTCAGCTTAACACCCCTTATTGGCTTCATTATGTATAGAGTGATTTACCCTCTAGAAGGACTTTCCAGCTTCTTCTTCCACCTTGTGTGTTTCAGTAGCACCAAATTACATATAGCATGTTGTCTGTTCTTCATGCCTTTGTGCATTGTGCCTCTTGGCCTGAATCCCTTCTCCCTGCATCAAGCTACCTCCTTCTCACCTATAAGTCTTAATTTAGTGGCGAGCTCTGGTAGCCTAGTGACAGGAAACTGCACTGCAATCACAGAGGTACACGGTTCAAATCCACCAGATGCCCTGCTGAAGGAGGAACAATCGCCTCCTGTACCAGTCAGATCTAATTTGACGGCGCACACATAAAATAAATAAATAAAATTTATTTAAAAAAAAAGTCTTAATTTAGTATCATCACTTTGCTCATCAGGTTGGATTAGATGTCCTCTTTGGTGCTTCTTCAATACAGTATGCATTGTGCTGTCATTGCATTTAATTTCTTAGATTCTAATAATGCAGACAGTTCTCAGGCTGAACTCTTTCAGAGTAGAGACCATCATGGGGTATGGGGTTGTATAGGTTTTTTTTTCGTTGTGTGCCTGGTGCCTAACATAGTGGCCTCAGTATATAAAGGAAAGAAAAGCTTTTGACCTAGGTTGCAAGTATCACTACAGTTAATATTAGAGAATTTGTGAAAAATTAACTTAGAAATAAAGGCTGGGATTTTCTTTTGATAGATAGATGTATATTTGGAAGAGAAGAAAAGAAAAGAAAGGCTTTTACCTTTTAAAATTGGAACAAGTAGTTAAACTTCTGAAGCAGGGTAAGGTTGGTACCCATCAAAAGCCTCTTTCCAGAACTTGAAGTTAAAGGGAGCTGGGGAGTATGTTCACTTATGACCACCTGGATCCACTAAATGGAATTTAGAGGCATGCAGCAATGAAGAGACAGGCTGAGTTTAGATGTTTCATCAGCGTTGTTAACCTAGCTTGCAGAGATACATGGATAAGAGAGAAAGGATTGCTGGCTTTGAGCAGCAGAGAGTTATGAGGACCCAGTCTTGTTGACTTGGACCTATGTGGAAGTTGAGATTTGAGTGAAGGGACCAACTCGTCCAAAACACAGGATGAAGTGTGGACTCCTGAGTTTGTGGCTGATGCCCATTTGGACCGAGCCTTGGATGGCTTGAGTTGAGTTGAGAAGAACCCAACAGGATGTTTCATTCTGTGAGCTAGTGTTGATTACCGTAACCTGATGGTTTGCTCTTGATTGGACTTTGCTTATGAATGCAGATGCTAAAAATTCTAACTGGAACAGAAGATTCTTAAGAGAAAGAAACATGCTTGTTTCCTCAAAGTACTGATTTTATTTTATTGTTGTTATTGTTGTTGTTAGGTGCTGTTGAGTCAAGTACGACTCCTAGTGACCCTAAGAACAAAAGATCTGAACCCTGCTCTATCCTGGGCCATCCTTACACTTCCTGACACACAAGAGCCCAATGCAGCAGTCACCAT